CTTTCTTTCTCCCCTCCTCATCATTTACACCAGGAAGTAGTTTTTATATCTGGAGGTTGCATGATGGAGGATAAACAACAAAGATAAGATTGTGATAGTTTAATTTTCTGGTATATTTGTCAACTTTTCTGCCTTATTTTGGTGCTTTTTCTGGACTGGTACCAGGAAATTATTGGATATGCGAGAGCTGAAATTACCAATGGTGTGAACTGAAAACAAAACCTACTCAAAGACACATCAGCATAGCAGCAAGGATTCTGGCCATGGGGTCCAGGGTGACTTGTAGCATTGGATAAATCTATGTATAGAGAAATTCTCACTGGGGTTTTCTAACCATCCCACTGTCTGGTTTTTGAAAATATTTTTATTCAGGTCCTTGGAATCCTAGAACCAAGGAGATGATTTGGCTATTTGAATGAAAATAAGCTTGTTGTAGCCAAGTAACTCCTTCAAATCTAGGTGAGGCAGACACCTCTCAGCAGTTATCTGGTGGCCAAAGGGAAATAAGCTAGGAGTTTCTCTCTGGGAGGAGCTGACAAGGGTGCATGACAGGGAAACATTCATTGTGGTCAGCAGCCTGGACGGCAGCTGTGGCCCACAGGCTGAAGATTGAATTGCCTCTAAAGCAAGTCCTGACTAGTTTCTCATCTTAGAGAATGGCCAAGCATCCTAGCAGAATGAAATGGAGTCAGTGTGGCTGTATCTCTGTGAGCAAAATACCAACGTGATTTCACCTTCAGCTTGCCCTGCTCCAGTCCATTCTTTCACTGTGATATTTTAAAAACAGAAATTGGATTTCTGGTCACTACCCTGATTAAAGTCCAGACTCCTTCATATGGCCTACAAGGCCCAGCAGGATCTGACTTGAGCTTATCTCCTTCCTCTAACTAATTCTTCCCAAACATTCATCTCTGTCTGGGATGTTATTCCTCTCCCCTTTTCCTGTTTCACTTCTATTTCATGTCTCGGATGAAACATCACTTCCATAGGGAATCCTTCTCTGGCCTTCTCAGACTAGGTCTGATCCCCTTGTTAAAAGGTCTCACATTCTTGGTAGAACTTACAAGTTTCGCTCAATGTCTTGGCTGGCTGTGAGGTCCAGGATGGCATTTGTTCATCACTCTGCCTCAGCACTTAGTGGAGGGCTAATTAACGTTCTTCGAATGTGCACAATTAAATGATTCTCTCCCTTCCTAACTCTGCAGAGACAAAAATGTTTAGCCTCTATAATTTTCCGTCTGTTGTCCCACCTCCATTCTCTACCTGGTGAATTCCTGTTCATCTTTCCAGATCAAGCTTAATAATCTCCTTCTTTGAGATGCCTTCATAGTCGTCCTCTGTACTAGTTGGGTAGGCTCAATGGCGTCAATTAATAAAAGCGTATCTCCAGCTCCTGCAACATGTTCGTCATGTTTATCTGGTTGCTTGCTCCTCACTCAGAGACTCAGGCTGAAAGAGTGACTGTCTCTGTGCTCCATGATTTCCAAGGCAGGAAGAACAAAATGTGGTTAGCCAGATGCTGGCTCTTAATCTTTCCACCTAGAGGTGTATGCTTCTGCTCAGAGTCCATGCTCAGTCATATAACCATGCCTAACGTTGAAGAGGATGGGGAAGTACAATTGTATTATGGGCCCAGAAGGAGGAAAACTGGTAATATTTGATGAACAACACTAATGCCAACTAGCCCCCTCAATACCCGGCCTCTCCTGGTGTTCCCAACCTCTCGCTTATAATGATCTGTTCTTCCACTCTCCCGTAGTCACATGAAAGACCTTGTAATCAACAATAACTAAATCATCTCCAAAATCTTAATGTCAAGCCCACCACTCTATAACTCCATCTCCGAGCTTTCCGGCTCATGCACTCTAGTACCCTCCCTATAATAATTCCTTGTCTCCATTAGGATTCCTGCTGCAGTTTAGGTTCCCAAGGAAGCAAACTCTGAGATGGAGATCGCATGCAGGAAGATTGTTAGGGGGTGCTATAGGGATGAACGCCTGTTGGGGAAGGAAAGCATATAGGATTGGGCAGAGGGAGAAATTAGGTCAATCCCACTGAGTGCTCTGAACCTAGGTTAAGGGAGAACCAGTCTTCACTGTAGGTTGCCCTCAGGATGGGAGTGTGACTGTGGGTGAGACATCTCTCTTCAGCTAAGGACAATGTCCCTAAAAGGCTAACAGCTGAAGATTGTTAGCAGGCAGTACTCCCATTAGCTGGGGGATTAAGTTCTTTAGTTCTGAAGAGAGATCTGGGCAGCGCAGCACAGTGCCCAACATAATATCCAGTCCATTTCAACTGTCTGCCTCCCTCTTCATGTCCTCCCTTCTCTCCTTAAGGGCTGAGGTTCCTTGGCACTTCATTATCATTACCTTTTTCCTTACCCCTCAATTCCCTGTGTCTTTTTTTCCATCATATTTGCCTAAAAACTCGTCTCTGGTTACACCTAACTTTCCAATTACCCTGCACTTGCCCCAAATAGCTGACTGAGACTTGAGAAACACACAAGGCCATGCTGACTGCTCTCACTTGACATCAGAAGTGGCTCCTCAGCCACCCTCCTATACAACCTAGTGAATTCTCTTTCCCTCTTTCCAAAATGACTATTTTAATACCTTCTCCCTCTCCTTAAACATCCAGTACCACCTCCCTCTCCTAATTTGCAGGTGTTACCCTCTATTCTCATTTCACTGAGAAGATAAAATCAAGTAAAGGAGAGCTACTTTATCTTCGCACCACTAAATGTGCCAACCTATCCCCACCTCTTCATTTATCTCTTGGCTTCCTTCTTTTGAAGATGACTTGCTCTATTTGTGTACTGGAGCTCAGCTCCTCTTGCCTTTTCCAGGACTCTTCTCCTGCAATGATCTCCTCTCTCTTCTATACCATCGGTTTTCATCACTTGGATTGATCATTCCCAACAGCGTACAAATATGCTGTGACCTTTTCCATCTTTAAGCAAGACTCTCTCTCCACACAAGTCTTGCTGGAGCTACTAACCCGTTTTTGTTTATGAGAAAATATCTCAGAAGGTTTTCCCTGTTTTTCTGTCTCTGCTCCCTCATCTTCCGTTCTCTCTTTAATTGGCTCCAGTCAGGCTTTGCTCCACTGCTTTCCCAAAACTACTCTTATGAGTTCAAGGTCAGCAGTGAACATCTTGCCAAATCCAGTGGTTAGTTCTTTGTCTTATTCAACTTCTTAACTGCAGGTGATGAAAGTGATAATTACCCCTTTCCTGAATCTTTTCCTCTTGACTTTCATGATATCTACTCTTCTGTGAAGCAAAATGCTAAAATGATTCTGGGACCGAACTAGTTAGAGAATTCTAATGCCCTGACTTCCAGAAAGATCTGAACTACACCTCATGCTCACGTGCAGTTGCTGTTCTATCTCAAATTCCTGGGAGAGTTCCCTTTATATCCTAGCTTGATGTAATCTTATTATATAGTTTTTATATTCATGTTGTTCATTTATTTTTATTATGCATTGTCTTGGATCATTTTTGAATGCACACGGTATTGTGCAGGTAGAGCATTTTGTTGATTGCCTGAATGATTTCACTAATTTTTGGTGTTTTGTTCTCATATCATAGTTATGGAAGTCTTGCTATGAGTCTCCTTCTAGGACCTCAATTACTGCACAATAACTTTTATTTGTAGGCTGACAGATCTTTAGCACTAAAAAGAATCTGATGTTATTTCAGGGTGTTTTATTAGGAAATAAATCAATCTACTTTTACTTTTCAAATAAATAGATAAATGAGGTTTCTAGTGAGTCAATATTGCTGTTTTTATTCTCAATTTCTGTACATGAAGGCTATTAGGACTTTAATGATTATCCTAATAGTAATACTATATTTGACTAATCATTTTCAGGGTGCTTTCGTGAAGTAAGTCATGGTAAATAAGAGATTGACTTCTGAGTTCAAATCCTAGGTATAGCCTGTCTTAACAGGATGACTTGTGCCAGATGTTTAACTTCTCTAAGCCTCAATTTCTAGACTTTACAATGAGGGCAGTGCTGTCCTTCACTCATGGAATTGTATATGGATTAAATTAGATAATCATTTAATGATACAGAGCAGTAGGTTCAGAACTGACTTCATGATAAACTGATGAGGATTCTGGGACTGAGAGTAGTTAATGGCAAGTCGTAGGCTAGTGACTAGCAGAATCAGAACCAGAACTCTCACTTTCTCTCCTGGATTCCCATGCTGTGCTTGTGTCCCTCCCTCTCCCTGGCCGTCGCTCATAAACAGTCTGAGTAAATGAACATAAAACCATTTTTGAGAACATAACCTCCAGAAAAGACTAAACTCTGTACTTAAGTTTGTAGGTTATTTTAATTCTTATCATGAACTTTTATGAGAAAGCATGTAATTCTCTGACTTCCATTCCAAAGAGAATAAGATCTTTATGTCGAATCAGCCCCTTTTTCTATCACATAGGATGGATCTCCAGGTCAGGGATAAAAGACATTAATTTGCATTAGACAACAGCTCCTGTCTGTATTCACAGTACAACATGGGAGAAACTGGCTACACCATCATTTTGTGACAGATGGATTAAAGCATGTCTTAGTAAGACACACAAGCAGAGGGGGGCTGGCTTCCCCTGATCTCTCTGATAAAAGATACACCACGTACAGTGGACACCTAATAAATATTAATTGGTATCAACTCACTGGACACAGAACTCCTTAATTTTTGAACATTTAAGTCAAGCATCCTCCTTGGCGAGAGGCTAATAATAGTAGATTCCGTCTTCATTCTTCTTGGGTTCTTAACTGTTGTGTCTCACAGTGCATCTTTCTAGAAATACTTTCAGCTCAAGATGGGATCTAATGCACCAGCTGAACTTGCACTTAAGCTTTTGTGTTGAACGCATCTTGCTTTTTCTCTTGGCTTCAATGGGCATTCGCCTTTTCTAATTTCATTATAAGGTGGTTACACTCTGGTTCAATCATTCAACTAACCGTGATATTGCTTTTTTTTCCTCCTTCAGATATTGATGAGTGTGCAGCTAAGATGCATTACTGTCGTGCCAATACTGTGTGTGTCAACCTGCCTGGGTTATATCGCTGTGACTGTGTCCCAGGATACATTCGCGTGGATGACTTCTCGTGTACAGGTGAGCATTAAGAAGCAATGTTGTTTTTCTGATTCAACTCTTCTCTGCACCGTATCTGTGCTGTTACATTTAGCCCCAAGTGCACAAAGTACTGTTTTTACCTACCTAGTTTTTTCTTGCATTATTTTATCCTCACCTTTTGAGAAGAAAGTAGTCATAAAAGAAATTTTGTCTGCATAATTTATTTCCACTCCCAGTATTTTTGCCTGTGGGTGTGCATGCATGCATGGGTGTATGATTTGAAATTGAAGTCCCAGTTGCCTATGGTAACACTGAGGGACTTAGAGACATCAGTTTCAAAAACAGAAAAGTATCGAACTATTTTCCTTCCATCATGATGAAATGTTTTTGTATATAAGAAAATGTACTTTGTTCCCAGTGGAAAAGACAAGGATTAAATTTGAAGGGGGTGCAGCGCGGTACCTGGTGGGCAGGGATCCGGCCTGTGGAGCCAGTCAAGACTTGTGGTTGATGTATGCTCATTGTCAGTTCCCCGCTCTTCTCCTATATTACTGGGCTATCAGCACTAAACTGGAACTCCAGGGACTGTGATTGGGGCCTTTGTGCGTGCAGTGCTGTCTCTGTGGGGGGTTTGGTTTGGGGTTCCAATATACTTCCAGTCAAGTCTATGGAGACATAAAGAGTGAACTGGTTAAGGATGGTAGAAGATTTTGAATCTTTCTCCTCTTGGTCAAATGTGTTTCAATGACAAACCTGAAACCTGTAAGAAAAGAGCTCCTTGAACACAAGATTCAGTCATGTTGCACCTTTCCCTGACTCCTGCGTCTTTCTCTTTGTCTTAATAACATCGGCATATAAACACTGAATTCTTCACTCAGAATGGATTGCCACTCTTTTTAAAATGTATTTTTTTCTGAATAACCTTTTCAGAAGTGCAAAAAGTTGGAAAAGTTAGGGAAGCATGTATGTCCAAATACCTTTGCCATTGATTATTTTATAAGTTACCATTCTTCAACTAAGGGGCTGGTGATCTCAGACTGATGCAGGTTTCTGGCGACCACAGAAGGCCAAATCTCATTTATCTGTCTTTTACATATTATGAGTAAAATTCCTAGAGAAAAAAGAAAGAGATTGAATAAATGTAGCATGCTGAGATCTAAACATTTTAAGGGGGCAAAACTGTTTTGGACCTATAAGCAAACATGATCCAAAAATCTGTGATATTATAAATGACTACTTCTCTGTCCTTAATAGTAAATCCAGGTCGTGACTTATTTTGACCCTAAGATTAGAAGAAACCAGTGAATATCCTCCCAACACAACAGCGCCATATCATGCCACTCAATAAACCTTAATTAAGGCCCTGCTGTGTTGAAATTAAATCAGAATACCGCCTCTGCTCTTATGCTGTCACTGAAGGGGGAAGGCCAGAGCTGGCGCCTGCTGAAAGCCTGTTAAGGGGGGTGCTTGGCCTGGTGTTTTATGTGGAACAAGATGGAAAATGTATTACTTTCAGAACTGGCTCCAGAATTACTTTTAGAAAGACCACTGTGTTGTTTGGAGCAAAAGGCAAGGGTCTGGGTATCAGTGGGCCCCCCAGCACTCCTCCCTCCCCACACAGAGGACTGTGTAGCTCCACAGGAAACAATCTTCACAAACACACGCACACACACACTTTTTGTTTTGTTTTGTGTGTGTGGGTATTTTGTCTGAGAGGGAACAGAAAAGCTAGAAAGAACAAAAGAGAAAAAAACGAGAGGAAGGAGAGAGAAACCAGTCAGAGAGCAGAAGGCTGGGTGCTGTGGAAGGACAGAGGGCCAGTGAAAACCATCCAGTGGGAGGATAACTGAGAGGACTTTCAAGGGTAGGAGTATTTAATGTAGGTGTTTTCGTTGTTTTGCTGTACAGCAGGCAGTGCAAGTCTTCCTTCTGATCCTCAAACCTTCAACAAAGTCCACCCACCTTGAATGCTGGGTGAGACCCTCCCCTGTCCCCACCCCAGTGGAATGTTAGCATGGTGGGCGACAGAAATGGTGCACATGTGTATGGGATGTTGAGACCTCGGAGGCGGAGGTAACCGTTATAAAGTAACCGTTCCTATCCCTTTCCCTGCCCCCAACATACCCCTGTACACATCTGCGTCACCATCACCACAGCTTCCTCCCAGGGATGGTGGAAATCTCGATGAGGGCTTTGGACTTCCATAGGGCATAGAATTGGGAGTAAGATTTGCTTCTTTAAAAAATCTTCCATTGGTCCCAGATTCCTTCCCACCTACCGCCTCATCTTTCTGCTTCTATTCACAGCAAAGCTTCTTAATTTAATTGTGGTTATTGTCCTCCTTTACACTTACTCACCTCACAGACCCTCCTCAAGCCCCTCCAGTAAGGCTTCCACACTCACCATTCCACAGAGATGACATTTATAGAGGTCAGCCATGAGCAGCATTTTGCTAAATCTAGTGTTCTTATCTTCTGTGACCTCTCGACAGCATTTAGCAGAGCTGACCCCACCTTCGCTCTTTTAAACATGTTTTCTTGACGTTTGAGACATTGTATTTCCTGATTTTCCTTCTGTCTCACTGGGCACTCCTGCCCCACGTCCGTAGGTGTTTTTCTTCCTCTGCTGACAATGTAAAAACTAGAGTGCCACCGAGCTCTGCCCCGGCCCCCTTTCTCCATTCACACATGTTCTTTTCAGGTGGCTTCATTCAGTCTTATGACTTTAACAGCAGCTCTGTGTCAATAACTCCTAAATTTCTGTCCAGTTCCAATCTTTCTCCTGAGCTTCTGAATCATATGTTCAACTTGGCATCTACACACAGATGTTTACTAGGCATTTCATGTTAACGTGTATAAGACAAAACTCGATTTCCTTCCACCTCTGCAAACCGCCTCCTCTTCCAATTTTCTCCATCTCAGCAAATGAAAGCACCATCTGCCCAGTTTTTCAAGCCTAAAAGCTAGGGTTGTACTTGATTCCTTTCCTTCCCTTGCCCTCCACTTCAGTCCTACACCAGTCTCGTCGACCCCACCCTCCACATCTGTCCTAGTGTGTCCACTTCTGTCTGTATCCTCTACTACCAGACACCCAGACTCCTGCAGGGGCCCCCACACTGGACTTTCTGCTCCAGCCTTTCTCCACTATCGCTCGTTCTTCACGTAGCAGCTGAAGCAGGCTTTCTAACACAGCAGTCATACACATCTGCTTAAAACGCGCGTGTAGTTTTCCATCACACAGAAACTCAAACCCATTCTCCTTCTTTTGTGATAAAACCCTCTATGGCTTTTATCCTTTCTGCCTCTCTGACTTCATCTTGTACCATTTCCATTCTTGTCCATTATGAGGTGGCATCCCTGACCTCTGACCTTTTTTCATTCAAGCTTGTTCTGCCTTAGGACCTTTGCATGAGCTGTTGCTCCTTCTTAGAAGCCTTTTGCTCTTATAACTGTCTCTTTCTCATCATTCAGATCTCAGCCTAAAAATGATCAGCTCAGAGAGGCTTTGTCTGATTCATATAATTAGCGACCCATTTTTCTGTCATATCACCTGATTTTAATTCTCTGAATATCACTTATCGCCATCTGGAGTTTTTATTATTTATATGTGATTTATAAAAATTTGTCTCTTTCTATTAGAATGTGAGCTCTGAGGACAGGGCCCTCTTCACTGTTGTTGACAACTCTGTCCTGACTAGTTAGAACCTAGCCTGGTGCAGGGCAGTGCTCAATAGTTACTGAGTGAAGGAATGAATAAAACTACTTGACCTTGGCCTAATTACTTACTGCTCTAAGTGTCATTTATAAAATATTGCTGACATCTGCTATAAATGTAGGTTATTGTGAACATCAAATTATATATATGGAAGTATTTATCCTGGCACTTGCCTCAGTTAGGATAGGATGCTCTGCAGTAACAAATAACCCCAAATATGAGCGACTTAAAATGACAAGGTTCTATTTCTTGCTCATGCAGTGTGTCTATCACTGGGGTGCTCTGCTCATCATAATTACTTTGAGATACAAGCTGATGGAATAGTCACTATTGTGAACATTGCTAGTCATCAAAATGGGGAAGAGAGAGCCTGGAGGTTCTTGCATCAGCCATTAAATGTTCATATTAGGGAGTGACACATATCGCTTCCATCCACAACTCGTTGACTAGAACTTGTCACCAGTCCCCAGCCAACTACAAGGGAACGAGGAATTCAGTCCTACCTCACACCAAGGAGGGTAGAGAACCAGAAATATTTGGTGACTGGTGCTATTGAATACCATGGTCACTGACACTTCACAGATTCGCAACAAATATTTTTCCTTTGACAGGAGGAGCTGTTGATTAAAATAACCTTTTTTCAATAGCAGTTCACAATGTGGTGGGGAAGGTAGTCTCAAGAAATAATTATGGTATTAAACACATTGTGCTAAGTGTTTGGGTGGAAGTACAAGCAGGATGCAATAAGAAAAACGTGCTTGACTGCCAGGATGGGAGCGTTTGGAATGTTTCTAAAGCCAAGAGGAGCTATTGGAGTTGCCCGAGGCATGTTAGCATACGATGACTCAGTCACGTTAGCATCTTACAGTGGGGAACATGGATGGGAAGGAGGAGAGCTGAGAGACAGGCATTCTCCCTGACGGTCGTGTCTCCTCTAGACCAGACTCCAGGGCCTCCAGTAGACACTTGCATAGTCATCTGGAACCCTTACATTTCCCTTGGTGTCCTGGAAATAAGTCTGTTAGGCCAAATGTGCTCTTTACTCTCCAAGATAGAGCAGGTCCCCACCTCTAATCTCTGTCATTTCTTTATTGGCAAAGAAGACTTCTGCCCGAAGTGGTTATTTGCCTATGTGATAAATGAGGTGTGTAATAGATGGCTGCCACTCTAAGGTGTCTTTTCAGATGATTCATTTCCCGAGGACCGTTTGCTAGGGGAGATTGACAGGCCTGAAGACATCCTTTGTTTGTCCTACGTTCCTGACACAGCATTTCTCATTATTGACATTCCTTATTTCCAAAGCTCATTTTAGTCTCTGTCCCAAA